CAGATGTCCAGGGTGCTTGCCTGGCCCCGGACCTGGACCTCAGCAACAGGGTTCACAGCACACTGAGATCCACTTCCTATGGCTCACTGAACCAACGACATCAGACCACATCTCGTCAGGCCTGGACCAACCGCGATGTTTTCCAAAGACGCACATTCCGAAACGATGACTCCGCCGTGCAGAAAAAAATGTACGGTAGATCATCTAGCAGCTCAAGCTAGACCAGAATGGGAGGCAAGCGCAGCATGGCTGGCTAGGGAACCTCTGAACGCGCACCCCTGCCATCTCTGGTCCTAGCGAACCCCGATCGAGAGGCTTCCACAGGTAAGTCGCCCGTGCCGTCCTCGACCCGGCACCAGCCCGCCTTCACGGAGTCTCTCGATTGGGCTGCAACAGCCTGTTGAGCGACTTGAACGACAAGTTCATCGTCGGCCTCGAGTACGTGCGTTGGCGATGGAAACAGCGGGGTTGAGTGCGGGTGGAGGTGTCGGATTCATGCATTGTATTATCAATTCGTCTTACCCTGCCAGTACACGCGTAGACGGAGCAGAACAGCCGTTTTCCCTCCTACCATGGATTCGCAGGACAGCCTATGTATGAGACGCATATGACCAGGTGGTTACTCGGATGCGCTCTTGTGCCGCTTTGTGCCTTTTCTAGGTAATATACTTTATCCATAGTCGGGCCACCGCAACGCAGGACAAGAATATTGCTGACAATCGCGAAGCTAACGCCGTCGACAGACTACCATATAGTTCGAAGATGATTTCCAATCATCCTTCTCAAGTCGAGTCACGGGGCACTTATCGTCATGCGCACAGAGGATGTCGCCGGCAGGCTAGGAGAGAGAAGGCTTTCACTACCGCAAGAAACCACGCAAAGGCCCACGCGTCAAGATTCGGTTCGGACTGCTTCCTGCCGGCAATCCTCTTACGGCCGTCCTCAATCAGCCTCCCGGCTTGCGTGAGTTGGATATTTCTCTTCGTGCAGATTGTCAGTTCCGACCTACTGGCCATACACATTCCTGAGGCTTTCGGTATCCCGAAGCCGTGCTCTGCGGCCTAGGAGAGTCCTCCTTTCACGGCGGCCACACTACTGGCATGGCCCACAAGAGCGACGGCTGTCCGAGGCTACGGCCGGACCGCTTCCGGAAACCTTCAGTTCGCGAACGACGCCACGCACCATCGACCCGCCCCAGCAGCCATCCCCACTGCAACAGACCTACCATAGAGCAGGTCGATTTCATTGCATACTTCCGTGACGATCTTCGCCTGCATGGAGAACCGTGGAGGAAAAGTTGCCGCCGTCTTCCCAGAGACGCCAATCAGGGGCATAGACGACGGGCAGCAGGCCTCCAAGGCGTCTACTACCGTCATGGAAACAGTCCTCCGAGAGACATTGCCGGAGTCGGGGCCGGAAGACAACCGACTTGATCGTCTGCTCGCCACGCACCTGAGCGAGCTATCAAGTATTCGTGGGTCTCGCATGAGGACAGGACATTGTGCGAGCGTGTCATGTACTCCGTACGTCTTTCCTCTCTCCGTCTGGTTAACTTGGGAACCCACGTTGCGACCGAGTCTGATCTGCTGAGCGCGCAGGGTGTAACAGATAATGCGAGTCTGACGCAGTCGCCCATCGTGAAATGCACATAACGATCGTCAATTGCCATCATAGCTGTAGTGTCTTTCCTCCTCTTCCATGACAGCCGCCATGGTCTGGTCGTGGCGCACGGAGTCCTTAGGTAGAATTCAACTAGCACTCGACGGTTTTGCTGAACATCTGACTGAAGATACAGCGCAATAGATGATTCCGTGACGACCGGACAGGTGGCAGGCGGCTCATTTCTGTCCCATGTCCGAGCCCGTCACCACCACTTGTCAATGCCAACAGTCACACAAGAACAGTGCACACTGGTTGGCTGGCGAGTTGCTTTCGCGCCGGTCACCCCAGGGAAATCCGATCGACGACCACCGAGGACCCTTGAGGGCCCTAAGGCCGCTCACACCAGGTTTTCGAGTGGGCCAATGCTGTTTGATGCTGTCATCCTCTAGCCGTGACAAGGCTCATCCCAGCCTGGCCTAGCATTGCTGGGCCAAAGTTGGTGAGAGAAATGTCTTCTTCCAACACGAGGCGGGGCGACAGATGTCCAAGGCCCTCGAGATACTTGCCGCGCGTGTTCTATTCAAGCCCGTCCGTCCGGTGGCACAGATCCAATTCTTGTTTTCTCACTTCAAGGTCCATGCTTCCACTCGCACACGGGTACAGCACCCATCTTCAAGTCCCCTCGCGCCGTACACAGGCATCCGTACGCACCAATCCATGAATGCTCGCTCTGATAGGAAGACGGCGATGCGCGCAGGCCACAGCAGGCTCCACAATGGGGGTCCATGCTAGCGCCAGGATGCGGCTTTCAGGTTATTCGACGAGATCAGCACTCTGCTTTGCGCCTATGTTGGAGCAACTGCGAACATCGAACACATCAAGACGCCTTCCTTCTGACTCGGGCCACGACATCTTCCGTCCTCCCGCGTGTCCTTTGTGCTTGTACCTGACGGGGCCAGCGCAATGATGAATAGCTCAATGATGAATAGGGTCCATGGACCGGCGATGGTACGCTGGGTCGGCACCAATACTGGAGCTTGGACCACCTTCTGTCCACACTTGGCTCCGACTCGATGGTTTATGCGAGCTGTGTGAAGGGTGAGATGCCCAATTTCATTCCAACGACAGTCCTCAAGACACCGGAGTATGGTTTCCTCTCGCAAGCAAACAACCACATGGTCCCGACAGACTGGTAACGAACATCACTGGCGCGCTCGAAGACGGCTTCTGTGTCATGAAGTACGATCACGGTATCATGCCGCCGGCGCGTCACACCGTATTAAAGGCAAAGGCATCGCCGTGGTCGTAAGGGACATGCTCGTGGTGTGCACACCAGTTTCTCATCGTTGTGAATAATCGTCCGTCATTCTGAACACCCTCGATCCTTTCCGCTCGAAACTGACGTCATGTTCCCCCTCGGCAACGGCGTCAGCGACCTGGCCAATCACAACGTCTACACCACATGCAGCAGAATCCGGTCCGGCGTCACGAAGCCAGTCCGACACCACGTGTGGTCCGAGCTCTACAACGGCGCAGAGGGCCTTCCCCCAGGACCCAATACCGACAAGAGACGACCACCTCCAAACCATGGGGATACCCAACATTGGCAAGCCCAGGCAATTCCGGCAGTGTTCACTTGGATCGATGCGAATTGCAAGATGTAGAGTATGTTGCTGTCACCGAAAATCCGGTCTGGTGCAAGGCCAGTAGGTAGCTGATATCTACAGCTCCATGTCTTTGATGCGTTCAGTGCTGGAGCTTCTGGATATGGTAGCCTGCGCTATCGTGGAGATTGATACCGCTGCAGACATCATTGAAAGCAAGAACGCGACGTACAAAACCGCTGTATGGCTGTGAGTTGATCTATTTCCATTGTCCAAGCAGAGGGGCTGACAATGCGAAGGGTGGACCAACTGGGTTTGGAAGTCAACGGTCTTGCCGTTGCAGTGGAGGCCATGGCAGTGGACACCATCGCCCCCCTACGATGCCTTGGGATGGGAGAGCTGGATTGGCTTGACGATCGCAATGGAAGCAAACACGCGTCTGGCTCTTGGTACTTCATTTCATGTATTTCGGACCGGAACAAGGCGTCTCCGCATAAACATCAGACCGGGCACATGCCCACTTCCGAACATGCTGTGCCATTCTTCTTCATGATCAACTGGTGCACTGTGGTCCGATTGATGGGGGCTTCTGCATGAGCAACTTTCTCCTTTCCTCCTCGTACTTTCTCGCAATCGGCATCTCTTGCCATCAGCGCGTGTGAGACCTGGATGAGATATTGCCGACGATGTCCCTGAGCGCACAGGGGGGTTGAGACATGTGGGTAATAAGGTTCTGCGCCGTTACCGTACTGTCGGGTCGAAGCAGGGGCGCAAGGGCCTTTTGCAGAGTCTCCGTCAGCCTGTGGTGCCGAAGGAGGAAACGAGCCCGTGAACGAGGGTCCGTCCGCCTGCATCCATCAGTACCGCACAACCCCCACAAGGGCCCTAGCCTCCCTGTCAGAACAGAGAAAGGTACGCGGCCGTGGGGGCTAGCTGTCTCCGAGAGTCTGTTGGAGGGGGCAGAACATACGTTCTTCGAGGACTGGGCCAGGGACGCATTTCCTTTGGAGATGACAGCCAATCAGGATGCACGGCCAAGGCTGAATGGTGACGCAAGAGTCAGCACCGTATCAGGATGCAAGTGTCCCGAAAAGGCAGGCATCCTGAAGAGGCAGGTACTATGTAGTGATGTCCAGGGTGTTGCATGCGTCAAGTGTCACGTGCCGTTCTCCCACAATAACGCTGTTTTGACAGCATGGCAAATGGCCCCAACCCGGAGAGTAGGACACCTGCGCCGAGAATCGCACAGGATCCCCAGTGCATTCGCTCCATATTCAAGACCGGATCCAAGTCCCGGGAAATGAACGGCCCACGAATGCCTCGATAACTTCGAGCAAACACGCTCGTGCAGGGAAACCCCGCCTATTCTGTGGTACCGGCTTGCTAGCAGCATGCAGGTGTAAAGTTTGTTGGTTCGTCGACCTTACGGGGCATGACTAGGGATAACCGAAGTGTACGCAGTGCCGGCCTCATCCACCGTGATTGAATGATTGACCTGTTGATTGATTGAGCTATCTCATGACTCGTGGGCCGCGGCTTCTTTGGAAGTCGACGTACTTGTTTTAGGAAATGATTGCTCATCGCCCCGTACTCTTGCAGCGCTTTGCTTCGTAATCTTGGCTCATCTCGGCCATCTGACGGACAGCGCAACCCATACCGCACAGTTGTCGCAGACGACGACTATTGTCGAAGACCAGTTGGGATGCTGGACTTGGAACAGACACCAGTCAGGTCGTTTACCGCCCTCGCAGAGTGTCTCCTGACAGTAGCCAAAGGCTGCCAGTGCACGATAGCAGCCTTCGATCAATTCTAAGAGGTGGATGGTCGTCGTTGGCTGTGGCGGCGACCCGAAGACACAAGCTGTCACTTCTGCCAGCGCGAGGCACGCATAAGAGGCCCCTACACGGCAATACATGCGATCGAACAAGCCCTTCACTAGACAGAGCCACCATGAAGCTCAACTCATCCTATGCCGAGGACTCCCGGTCGATCAAGCTTGGTCTTGGGTGATTGACGAAAGCGAGTCTGTTTCCATTCTCATCTTGGACGCCACGTCCTGTCGTTGGCGGCACTGATGTTCCCAACAAAGCGCATCGCTAGCAAGCCCACGCTTCACAGGGAGTGTCGATCACATCAGGCTTACGACAAGCAGCATCGCCATCTCGTCACAAGTAAGTACACTCACTGGCTGGCGAAAGAAATTTGAGTATAGTCAATTGCGGTGTGGTGTTCTCTCCATCTACGGAATACCAGGCCAAACGATCCAGGATTGGCATCTCGATGATCCTGAACCCCACTAATCCGAACATCTCTCGTGTTTGACGCTGGCTCGTCACAGCCAAGCTGCGCGCGTCAGGTGCAGCTCGAGTTTCTCATTTTCTTCCCAAGATACGTATAGTGACATGTAGAGCATTGACGGTGCTGCAGAGGAGAATGATGAGCCAAAACGTAGTCATGGCGTGAAGAAACACCGAAGCGCAAAAGTGTACATGGTAGAAAGACGTCTGAACGAAGGAGAGGTTTTTCTGACAGATGCACTGGTCTCAAAAGTGGGCTTGGTAGCAATGGTCGCAGGAATGGTAGGCGTAGCTGAGAAGACGACTAGAGCAGATCGTTGAGAAGCACGGTTATTGAAACGACGGAGCTGTCGGGGGCATCTAGGAGACTGTCAGAACATGCCGCTCCAGCCTCCGAGAACATAGGCCGCGGCGTAGACCTAGCAGCCAAAAGAACCTGGCAGATTTGTTTCCCGACAGTTCGGGTCAGTCCTAGAGTGTTGTGGGCGCAGGCGACATGGGGCATCGTTCTCGGCCCAGCGGCGGCTCGACCTGGGCCATGGCGTGCGGTCGAGACCCCCCGGGGGAGGGGGGTGGGGTGTTGTTTGTGGTCGAACAATGCAGGGCTAGGGCAGATTGAACTACAGCAAGCCACTTCCTGCTAGAGCCACACTCGACCCAGGACCAAACTGGGCTTTGGATCAGAAACCGCTTCGAGTGGGGTGGCACGGAACAGAAGCGAAGCAGCAGTTCCGGAACAGCACCCAAAAGCCATTTCCAACTGTAGCGGTACAGGAGGAAATCATCTGGTCAAGCCTGATGAAGATTTGGATGTCGATGGATCTGAAGACCGCTTCACACTAACTTTTAATCCATATGTGCGAACGCTGCTGCGTTGCCGTCCCAAAGAGACTCCACCAGAGCCTCAGCAGACTTGGCAGCACAGACGTTCCCTGAGAAGTACCACTGGATCGAAGCGACAATGACCGGCGGTTCACCACCAAAGACTGAAGTTGAGGCCCGAGAGAAAAGAGCGAAGGACAAGGTCCGAAAGTCTGGCACCAGCGCCCAGGGCAAAGCACTTCGATTAGGCGAATTTGCCGATGTGTTTTCGGCTGTCGTCTACTACAACCCGACATATCGGTGGCTGGACGGTGCCATCCACGTACCTGAAGGTCAAGACATGCCTGACGTGAATGCATTTGTAAGCGGCAGCGAGAGCCCACCTTTGAGATACAGCACACGCTGACACGAAACCGCACCAGTTTGCGCAGATTTTGAACGACTCGGCCTGCAATGGTCCCCAACACGGCCCACGGCGCGCGCAAACGTGCAGCCAGTCCGCACAGAACGCACAGGCAGGCGACACCTCCGTCCGCGACAACATGACGGCGGAGACTGGCAGTATGGACATTGACGCCGCTGCGGAGGCAAACGTCCTCCAGAACAACAGCGACGACGGCAATGGTGCTCGTCATGTTGATGCTTCGCCAATCAGTCACGGCGGGAAATCGCAAGTCGCCAAAGACACTGGTAATGGGAGGCCGCTTCGCCATCGCCTACCCGACGGTCCGGCCCTTCGGGATACGGGCGGGCGTGTTGTGAAGCAAGAGATGCCCGACGGCGCCGTCGCTGATGGCTCGGGGGAGGCTGACACGTCGGGGGATGCACGGGACATCAGTATGCATGGCCCCTTCGACAGTGTGGTTGGAAATAAGGCGCAGAACGGGCAGTCCGGCGATGTTTCGGAGTGGGAGACGGTAAATTCACAATACGCAGAAGCGCCGACTGCGCGGGTGACGCGCCGAGGCCTCACCAGACTCCAAGCGGCGAGGGTTCAACGAGTTTTGCAACAAATATCTCTGCACATGCGACTCGCCTCCCGTCAAGAGCGGATGCCGCCGCATAGGATGGTTCATCAGGACAGATGAAGAGGTTTGTCACAGCGAAATCGTAGGCGATGAGACTTGTCTCCGTCGTTTGCCAGGACCTGGCGAGCGTTGCATCGGAGAGTTTGTTGTTTAAAAGTGGGGTACCACCGAGAGGCAATGTCATCGTGTCTCCTGAATGCATTCTCCCGCGCGCCGAGGGATTCGAAAACGTGTACGAGTTCATGAATGCGCCTTGAGGAAGAAGTCACCAGAACGATATACTATAGATGCAGCCGTCAGGAATTGAGTAGTATTTGTTTCGAAGTTGTGCTTCTCAGGCTACTAGGCGCTATGAGAAGGCGCGCTTTGACCAATCGTTTGATGTCACCGCCTTCTTGCACCCTGTCTCGGGGGCTGCGGACGAACTGCATGCGGCGCAGGCAGCCCGCTCCTCATCCAGTGTGCTTCGGCAGCTTTGCAGCCCCTGGTGCCTTCGGGTGTCCCGTCACGTTGGCACATGTGAAGCAATAATATAAGTTGCGTCCGATCTTCACCATGCCCGCGTCTTCGAGGTCGTCAGTCGGAGTGAGCTCGGCCTCCTTAGAACAGCGCATGCAACGAAGCTTAGCAATCGTTGATCTGAACATGTTCAGAATTGATGGATAGAAATCTATTGCGTGTTGAGTCTTTCACTGGCGGATGCCGGGATGAGCAACGCGGAGCCTGCCTACGCGTTTATACTCTACAGGGACGCAGGTTTCGCAGTCCAGAGGCGGCCATCGTCGCTGCCCAAATTGCCAGTCCCGTCTGCGATCGCTTATTTCCACGTGTTGGAAGTGAAGTCTCCTCGCAGGCGGAGAGAACTGCGATACTCACGATCTTGCCCGGCAACGCTCATTGCTACCCCGCCCGCTAAATCGGGCTCTGTCTGACGCATTCGTGGGCGTATGCGTGCTATCATCATTTCTGACCATGGCAGCATGGGGAGCGTTTTACGAAGCTCCCGAGTACAGTATTTCTGACGTGGGGGGGATGTATCCGGATGGTTCACAGACACCCCTGACACAGCCGGGCGTAGCCCCACTACGAGCCAGAATCGGGCTCAGAGCATGACTGTCCCTCATGTGAGAGTGGTCGGGTATGGAGGTTGGCGAATCGGATGGGCATGCCCGTCGGAGCAACTACGGTATCTTGTCTCGCAGTCTTTCAGCGAGAAACAGGCCCGACAGCCATGATGAAATTCCACCCCCTTGGGTTCTCTCGGGTCCCCTTGGGTCCAGATGTGCATTTCTGGGTACACCACGAAATCAGGCAAGGCGAGCACAATACGGCTACGACCAAAATCAGATTGTAGCCAGCGACCACCAGATTTGCTTCGCAGCACTTCTAGATCCACCCGCCGACCTCAACGAGCTCGTACCGATTGCCACGGACGGGATCCCTGCTCGCACCATTTCTGCCGTTCAAGACATTTTCAGAGGCATTCCGAAGTTGTTTCCATATCCGTCAAGCCACAAAAGTGGGTGTAGATGGCCGCTTCCCACCAACATCACGATAGGAGAAGAAGAATCGAGATGGCGTGCTGTGCAATTCGGTCTTTAGCAACATTTCATTGCTTTCGTTCCCTTTCAATGTCCTGGATGCGAATTGGGCCAATTTGGCCAGTGTTTGATGCATGATCGATGTGGTGTGTAACTGCGAGAACGTCTCGACGCAGGCTTGACACAACGATTAGAAGCTGTCGCCTGATTGATGACACGCACATTCTGTCGTCCACAGCAGAACCC